TTAATAATAAAATTTTTCCAGAAACAATTGCAAAATTCGAAGCGTACGAAAATTTCGAAAGTTGAAAAAAATTGTTCGACTCTGGCGAAGAAGGAAGTCCTGGTGGTGGAAACGCGACGCTCGAGGACCCGTTCCTCGGGCTGCTCGATCGTTGGCCTCGAATAACTGTCGGGGAATGCCGCAAAAGGCCCTCGGGGCATTGCGCGCCGCGGATAAAACAGACGCCCGGTTAATTATTTGCATCCACCTCGAAAGTCGATCCTTCGTTATTACTGGATCGAACTTCACTCCGTTTCCAAACGGATCGATTCCCGAAATAGGCCGCGCTGTATTCCCCGACGATGCGTCAAAAGACGTTTGTATATCCCTAATCTTAATTCGATTTGTTGACTTAGCGAGCCAAGTGTAAAAAAAGCTCGCTCGCCAAAAACTCGCTGGATCCAGCCGCTGGATCGTAAACCTCCTCTTAACCTCTCCACGCGTTTATTATTTAACAGGATTAACGCGCAGTTCACCAAACTGTTCCAATATGCACACGCGTCTTACACAAAATTACACTCCACAGTTCTGGTCTTCGCGAAGTTCGTCTTCTGCGCGCGAATCATCCAATTTTCACAACTCGAGCCGAATTTCTTTTTTCCAAGAAATTTCCCTTTCGAAATCGTTTCTTTCGGAAACGCAACGAGAAAAGAGTACGATGCACGTTTTTAACGACGAAATAATTCTATTCGATTCCCCTCCTTTTTTAGCGATAATTTGGATTCGACATCGTCGTTTCGTCGAGATCGATTGGAAGCCGATCCGGGTTGGAGGAGAAGCGTGTCGCTTCCGCGTTCCAACAATTAAAATATTGCGCGGCACGGCGACGCGGTCTGATCAGCAGAAAAGGAGAAACCGAGTCGCGGCGGATCGCGTTACCCCGCCGATTCTTCCAGCGCGTTTCCTCGGCGGCGGCCTCGATTTCGTGAAAAAATGTCGGCGGTTACGTCACTCGATTAGAAAACGATCGGAGAAAAACACCTGGCCGAAGGAATTCTTTGATCCGTTTCTGTTTTAGATTATGTGCAAATAAGCTCTTTCTAATTTTATTCCATAACTGCAGATACAAGATCGATTCCTCCATACTCATACCGTCATTGAACTTTCTGCCTGAACACGATCGTCGTCTTTCATATTAAAATTTAAATCTTCGCTACCACTTTTTGCGGCGTAAGATTTTTAAGCTGGAATGGAATCGCTTGAAATCGTTGCGCAGGATTGGACGGAGATTTCTGACGGAGAAACAACGAAGCAATTCGAATTCGGCGAGAGACGAATAGATATATCCAATTTGTTGGAATAATTCCGTGTAAAATGCCTCTTTTTCTCGTAATTCCGTGCTTCTTCCTTCATCGTCGTATACTCGACGATGCTTGGAGATTTTTTTTTTTAAATCGTTAAGCCTTTTATCGTTGAATTTGAGATTCACACTCTGTAAGCAATTACCTAACGTTTGAAACACGTTTTCCTCGTTAAAATGGGGAAAAAGCCATAAAAAGTTTAATATCGCAAGCTCAAGGTAGGCGAGTCAACGAATCTTTGCAGGTTCAAGGATCCTCTCGATACGGCCGCTTAAACGATAACTTCACACTTTTGTTTTGCAAATATTTTCGTGTATACGTACGCACGAACGAAAAATTAGTTAGCGAGGAAACAAGATCAAAATCGGAGAAGATAAACATTTAAAAGTTATGAGACAACGATGTTTCGTGTCGAGAGGCAAATTCTTAACAATTATACAATTTCACGCGTCCCCCTTTCCAACAATATCGTAAGCTGGTCTCACGAGTTCTATTTTTCGATGCGATTATCACGGATAATCTCTCCTTTATCATCTCTCTCTGATGATACATTTCGCGCAATATTTTCCTTCTCTCGAAATCGTTCGAGCGGACGACGGCCTGCACGAAGGCAAAAAACAATACAACGGGCGTTTCAACACCGGTTGGAAAGCGTGGACAGACAGTTGTTTTCCGCCGTTTATTCCGTGGCGCGATAATAACGCGTGGAAATAGCGCAGTCGGGCTATTGCGAATTTGCCGATTTCGATGATAATGCACCGCGGCCAGCGGGGCGAATAATGGCCAGATGTCTCGTCCACGGGACGAGATTTGTAGCAGCTTGTAGCCCCTGCGTGTCGATGCGATTAACGGCCGCGAATCTCGCGGTATTTCATTCGTCACGCGTATTTTACACGCGTGCTTTACACGCCGCCGCGTAATCGGCCTCGAATTATAAATCGTCCCCGCAATATTCTCTCTCAACATCTGGAAATATCCGCTTGTAAGGAAATGCCTTCGTTAACCGGGATCTCGTTCCAACGATTTTTGTTCAAATTATCCATCTCCATTGAGATCGTTCGATCGTTCTTCAAACACGAATCCAAATCGAAATTTTGAACGAATTATTTTTACTCCAACGATATATCCTCGATTTCTTAAATACAAATCCACAATGTGATCACAGGAATGGAACAATACCTATCCTTGAAAAATATTTCCAGAGTAAATTTAATCAAACTATCCTTATAACTTCGACTTCGAGTTATAACAATCGTTGAATAGTCGAAATTCTCTCACCGAATTTTTGAATGTCGATCGATCCAGGAGCAAGTATGGCGGCACGGTTGCAATTAAAATGGCGCGGGGACCAGGCCGCGACAAGCCACTCGACACCGCGGACGTTCGATCGACTGTGCCCGATTCGTCGCCGTTTCCACTTATTAATAGAACGTTTGTGTTTACATTTCGAATATATTCCTTCCGCGGAGAATCGCGAGCGCGACGATTCCTCGATTTGAATTCGAATCCGTCCTTCCTCCTGCAAACAAGGATCGCGTTTTTCTCGATCGACAAAAACATCTTTAAAACGATCTTTAAAATAATACTCGAACGAAGCGAGTTATTATTACCAGCGAGTTTCCCGAAAAGAGAAATGAAATGTGATCGAAAAATACGAGGCCGGGGAAACTGGTTGAAGAATTCCATCTCGCGTCAAATTAATTTCATCCTCGAATAATCATCCAATAAATCATCCGCCGAATTTTATTTCGCAACCGACGTTGTTCACAATCACAACCAGGCGACAAACGCTCCAAGACAAGATTTACTACGGTGACGAGGCAATCTTATCGTCATCGATCGATCGTGTCAGTTCATCAATAACTGCGCGGATATAACCTGGCCGGTCGTTAAAGTTCTCAGCAAGGTTCTTCGACACCGGCCGTGAGATTCGCTAAATAGTCCCTCGTTATTGCGACGATCCAACGGTGTTTCCATTGATGAATGCCGCCTAAACACAGGAGCGATCTTGTATTCGCACGTTCGTAATAATCCACATCGATCGAATGATCAATTCGAATCTATTCCGCATTCCGCAACGTGGATCGTGTGGAACGAACCAGAGGAATCCAAGACGAAAAGAAAAAAAAAAAGGTTTTCATCGAAAAAGGGAAGATATAAATATAAATTGATCGAGAGAGAAAGAGAGAATTTCGTTGGAATGGAATTTGTTCGTGGCATTTGTTTCGAGAATAGCGATCGAGTGTTGGGAAAAGAAACCTGTCATTAAAATCGAACGACAGACGATTAAGTAACGAATGCTTAAGAGAAAAAGTAATTCAAAAATTCCAATTCCAATGGATGGATCATGGATGGAACGAAGAGGGATGGGAAGGCGGGCCACGCGTTAATGTTACCATTAACAGGCTTTTATTCCGCTCTATTATTAGGGTGGAGGAAATTGGTACGTTCCTCGAGGAACGTAAATTTGAATAGGAATTTTATTTTCATTCAGAAGAGGAGAAAGATATCGGCGTGTCGGATAAGAAACGATTCCACGAACAATTATGACGGATGGCGATCCGAGTCCTTTGATCGAGAATTTCGTTACAGTCCAAGCTGTACGACTATATAAATTAAATTTCAACCGAAGCAAGCAACGATTACTTTACTCGTCCAATTGGCCGATGTGAATTTGTCACACTTTTCGTCGAGACTCTTGTTTAATCTTCGATCTTTATCGAAGAGGATGTAAAAAAAAAAAAGAACTTATGCGCGGATCTCGTGAAAGGTGTTTTACAATTCCGATCGGATCGTTTCACCGCGATCACAGTGATTTTCCCATGGCGAATCGTGTCATCGGTCGAGTTTCGCGTGATGGCCGACCGTTCGCCTCCGTTTCGAGTCGATTTCGAGCCAAGTTCGCCATTTACGACGCGTCGGCAACGTGACGGTTATTGCCGATGATTGACGGATGGGAACACTATTCATTATAGAATAATTGTCGATCGAAAGGATTTTCTTTTCGAACATGGGCGCAAATCGAGTTTCTCTCCGAGTGCTTTCTCCTCCTCCTCCTCCTCCTCGTCGACGACGAAAAGGGTGTATAACGGAGAAATCGGCCGTTTTACCTTTTCCCTCGATCGGTATTAATAACGCAGTTCCATAATCCGAGGTTGTTGGCAGATATTCGGAAGATCTGGAGAATTTTTATCGATTGGATGCTATCCTATCCTGGCAACGTTAGTGATAAACCTAGTATCAAACCTTGCTCCTCGATTTATTAAATACGATCTTGGAGACTCGCCGAAGCCTACCACGCCAGATCGAAAACGCGTTGCCTGTGAGCCAAGTACACGGCGGCGTTCGTGCAGGTAGAGGAAAGTAGGAGAAGAAGTTTTCAGAAGTTCCGTTCTGTAGAGAAGGTGGAAGGACATTCCCGCAGGTAAGAGGCACTCTCGACTTCGTCTCTCCTCCTCGAGAGATGCAAACTCTTCGCGGTTGAGCTGAATGGGTTGAATTCCGCGAAGTCGAAGTCCGAAGGGGACGCGTATTCAAATAGAAAACGAGGATTCCACGGCCGGTGAAGAATCTTTGGATCTTCTGGTCGGCCGTTTCTGATGTTCAGCGCCGCTTCGAGGATTGTTGATCCGCGAGCCACTCGAGGAACGAGGCGTCGAATTCATTTCTCCCGAGAGGATCCTCGCGTGTCCTGGCGGGCAACGGCCGCTCCTACCCAGCCGGCATTCCCCGGATACCGGGCGTTTTCTTCGCTTTTGCTCCCAGCGAAACCGTGCATCTCGCGCGAGAGGGGGGGCACGCCGATGACGAAAGTGCACGCGAGATATGCGCGGCAGAATTTCTTCTCTCTTCTCTTTCGATAGTTTTCCATCTTCATTGGGGATTTTTTCGTTCGTTTCCTCCTCTTCATCTTAGATTTGAAAGAATGATCGAAGATCGTTTAAAAGGCGGTTGTTATCGATATTATCGAAGAGGTAGAAGAAGATTTTCAACTTTTTTCTTTTGTAACCTTACCTTAGAAAATGTCAATGGCGTTGGCTTGCGGCGTTGTGGCACGAGCCTCTACTTGCTAATGCAAACATCGTCGAGTGTTTTTGCGTTTAACTGGAAAAATGTGCTTCGAGAAATATTATAATACCGTGTATTATAATGCTTAAGAGCTGTCTGGTAAAAATTTGTTATATTATATTGTATTTCGATCGTCTTAACGATATTCCTTTACAAAAAAAAAGAAATTTATTTAACAAATCTGTCCACGCTCCGTTTCTTCTTTACGTAAATTTCGTAAAATTCGTAAAAACCTCCGATAATAATCAACGAAGAGGGGAGAATTTCTTCGAATATTTTTTTCTCTCTTCGAATGCTCGAAGTCGAAGCGCGAACTCGGACGAGGCATCGATCGTGTCGCCGTGTTTCGTAGCGCCGGGCAATAAAATCGTCGGAATTATTTCCGGCAAATCGGCGAAGCGAATCTGTCGTTGGAAAGAATCGGTGACGCGCGATAGGCACGCGGGGAATTAAATTCAACCTTGCTCTCGCTGCGTGCCGGTTGTACACACACGCGGTGATCGATAATGACGGTAATAAAGTTTCTAAGTCAATGGTCACCGGGAAAAGTGGCGCAGGGGGAGAGCCGAGTTTAAATCGGCCGCTCGCCGGAAAATTGCAACGTTTCGAGCGTGGAGAGAAGACGAAGGGGGGGAGAACGCTTGGACGAAAAATTGCTTGCCTCGTCGAAGAAGGAACGAACATAATGTTCGATGCATAATTTCTTCTCGCCAATCTCGAAATTTGAATGCGAAATCTTCTATATACAGCTGCGTGTAATAAACAGTATACTTTTAAGCATTTTTAAAAAAACTTTCGAATTGAGTTCGAAAACGAAGTTCGAATCTCCGGAATTTCGCACGCGTTATCGTGGATACGCGTTTCTTGAAAGCTGTGGAAGCTAAATAAAAATGCATCCGCGTTGCAATCACCTTTCACACCGGTTCACCTTGTACGTCCAACGTAACGGAATATTATTAAACGATCGTTCCCGGAATCCGTTTCGCGGCTAATCACCACCGCGATAAGGCCGCGTCAATCATAATCGGACGAGCGTATTTCCTTACGCTTTTCTCCCGTTCCACCATTGTTGTTCTGCCCTCCTTTCCTCCTCCTTGATTCTGAAGCATCTGAAGAGAGAGGAAGGCAACCTTCCTTCCTTCCTTCCTTCCTTCCTTCGGGAAAATTCGTGGAATTTTCGTTCGTTTTCGACAAAGTGTTCTTTCTTCACGATTATAATCAGCTAATGTAACATTGGAAAATGTATTTACTCACTGTCGCTCTTGCTGCGTCTCTTCTTGAATTCGAGGTCGGATCACTGAAGTGAAGCTTCACGGCCGAGTGTTGCGAAGCTCGGTCGGTGAAAAATGCCGGCAAACAAAATGGCTTCGAAGCAACCAATCGCTTTGGTTGTTCCTGCGCTTTCGGGTATTTAGCGCGATACCCGAGAGGCGAGATCCCAAGGACTTTTTCCGCGCCGTGGTGGAAACCGTTACTCGCTTGCCTACACCTGATTAACCTTCGCAAGAATCCTGTTTAGAACACGCGTCTCTTATTACCCGTCAACACGACAACAAAGAAACCAAAGATTCTAAACCTATAATTTATTTTTACTAATATTCTAGAAATCCTTGACCCGAAAAATACCTCACTTCTTCGAATCGTGCCGTACGTGTAACCGTACTTTTCCTTTTTTTCACTCCAACCATTCGATCCCCAAAGCCCTTTTCTCCCAAATTCTATTTTCTTAAACTTGCCACCAAGCTTTATATTTATATCTATTTCGAAATCCTCCTCCTCCTCCTCCTCCTCCTTTTCCAGAAAAAAAAGGCGGAAAAATTCGTGGAAAAATTCGGCGATTAATCGTGAAAAAGAAGGAAGAGAAACCGAAAATAGAGGAAATGGTTGGGAACAGGATCCGCGGAGCTTTCCGCGTTTCCATCGTTCGCGGCGGCCAATGCGCTCGATGCCTTTCATCGTCAACGAGGTAAGAAACGTCTGGTCTGGAAGAGAGTAGGGAGAGAGAGAGAGGAGAGAGGAAGCTGGCGCGGGGGAAAAAAGTGGAAGAGAGTGGCGAGCATTCGCTCGACGCGGCCTTAGAAGGTCGCTAGCTCGAGCTAGCCTTCTTTAGCATCCTGTATCCACGCGTTTCCTCCGTCTCTTTATTCCACCTCCCGTCTCCTTTCGATACGTTGGACAGTTTCTCTCTCTCTCTCTCTCTTTCTCCCCTGCAATCCGTGTATCTGGCCGGAGAGCGGTTGCATCTCGATGAAAACGACCTCGGCTCTTGTCCCGTCTTGTCTTCGTTATCCTCCTCTTCTTCTTCTTCTTCTGCGTCTTCTCTCCCCTCCAACCAGAAGATGCACCTGCGCAGGAATCCTGTAACGCGTGCTTCATCTTTGGCGATGGACGAGAAAAGGCGGTGGTTCGAGACATGAACATCGGTCGATTTTCGAACGATTGCGATCTCTGTTGTTTCGTGGAAAAAGGAGAAAAGTTTTTTCTAGGCTTCTCCCTCTTCAGTACGAGAATTTCGACGCTGCCAACTACTTTCACAGATAAATTCCATCGTCCTCGCTTTTTCGAGATTAAGCATTAACTTCGTATCGTCTATGATACGTTTCATCCGATCATCCTCCTCTGAGATATATTTAAAATCGTATCGGTGGATGGCAACAATTTGTGCGCCAATATCTGTTGTAATCGATCGAGAAGGCAGAGAAGTAGTATAAGAAGAAGGAAGAATAAGAGGAAGCATTTCTCGAGAACGAATCTCGAATGCAAGAGATAGAAAGATCGAGATTATCAATCCATCCCGCGATACGACACCCCTATAACCACGCTTCCGATGCCTGCGCCCGACACATAAATTGCCTCGTCCTCCCGGATTCGTCTGTGAAATTCAATGGATCCTATGGGAGCACCAAAAGATTGCGATCTCCCCGTGAAAGCGTCTCCTCCTTTCCAGACTGCGGCCTGGCAAAGATGGAGAAGGAATCACGATACCAGCCGTCATATCCGGAGAAGAGGGGATTGCTTGCTTGCTTGCTTATTTCATGTTTCATCGGACGAGGATACAATGCGTGTTTACGCCCTCCCACGCGAAAATTCGCGTGCACACGCGGCGGATCGACGCGTCAGCATGTGGGGTGCAACGCGCGTGGAGCATCCTTCCTCGATCGGGGATGAAAGAGTATTTCCCCCACAGGATTCGCTGTTCAAGGATTTTTCTCGAATATTGTTCCATACGTCCTTCTTTCTTTTTTTTTTTTTTTCTTTTTTTCCAGAACGTGAATGATGAATCGAATTGATTTCAAGTTGAAGAGATCGTTTCTTTCGATATCCAAAGCGATTACGAAAAGTTGGTGTATAATAAATAATAAATTACGTAGCGAGGATTCTTTTGTAAGAAAGGAGTTCGATTTTAAAAGAGATTATTTATTTACAATGTTTCTTTGATAATGTTAAACTTTTTTTTTTACAAAGAAATATAATTGTATTGTATTTGACGTAATCTTGGTAGCATAAAAAAGTCTAATTTCAACAAAGAATCCCGTTTATCATCGGGAATCATCGTTCGACAAGGAAAGAAATCTTTTTAAAGAAAAGTATAATTATGTTATTCGAAGCGAGGCTAGAATCTAGAGAAAGGCGACAGAGTAAGTCAATATAGTGGAATCACTTTCAAATTTCAGGTATAATTCTGTGAACTGGGCGAAGAAGAAAAAAGAAGCTACACGACGAGAAGACAAGCGAGGGAGAGGGATTAGAGAATTGCTTTCTCCTTTTCCATCCTCCAATTTCACGTGGCACTTTTTCCTTTCTTCCGCGTTTTTCCTCGACACCTACTACTACTACTTTTTCTTCCCTTTCACCCCAGGCCATTCCTTTCACCCTCTCCCCCTTTTTTCTTTTTGCCGCCCCCTTATCCCTCCTTTCAAGCTTCTTTCGGCATTTCGGGTTAACGCGCCCATTTGCGATCGTGGACAATGACGGAGGGTTGGAAATCTCGAGCAAAATTTAGCTTTCAAACCCTGTATTAATATCGATGCCAATGAAAAATTTGGAGATAACTCGCAAGTTTGATCATCATTTTCGATGGAAAAAAGATACTGGAGCTGATGTAAATAATTTTAAACAACCAACCAGGTGATGAACGAAGGCGGTGGGTTACAAGGGATGCGAGCCGGTGAATCACGGTGTCGGGCAAAAAGCTATGCGTCACCGGTTATTAAGGAACGGGCTTCCAGAAATGATTCTTCCGATCGCCTCAAAGAGGATTTCCTCCCGGATCCAATCCGGCCGAATTAAGCCCGACGGGGGTTGACGACGCGTGCTTGACTCAGCTTCTTCGTTTTTGGGTGGACGTTGGCGAGTGACTCAGTGAGCAACTCGTGTTTGCTCTGAACACCGTAATTAAAAGGGGCTGACTTGTACGAAGATTTATCGCCGTTCCCCCGCCGATAATTCGTATCGGTTTCGAGAATTCGTTTATTATCGGGCCGCGTCGAATTTCGAGGTCGATTTGAAAAGAAGAATTGCAAGAGTCGTCGAAATTTTCTAATAAGCTAATAATAAGAATCGCGTATGTCGATAATAAAATAAAGAAAGTACTTTTTCCTTTCTTTTTTTTTTTTTTTTCGAAAGTAAAGTAAATCTTCCTGCAAAGTTGTATATCTGGAACAGATATACAATGATCGATTGCAATTATTTATACTATATTTTAATACATACGATAGATAGAAACGTGGGAGATCGGATGCACCCGATCTTACCATTGTTCTTTCGATACCTAATAACATTATCGAGAAACATTGGAAAATTCGCGAGATGCACAACCTTAAACTTAAAGGAATCATCCTCGAGATAAGATTGAAATCTTATTCCACCTGGAAAAGAGGGATAGAGGAGATTCTTCCTGGCTGTTCGCGACGAAATTTATACGGATTCGAATCTCGGTGAAGAAGATAAATTTCACCGTTGCGCGAGGAGAAACTGTGCATAAGAAGCCATCGACGCTCTCTTCTTTATTCTCGATCGAGCGACAAAGAGAGAGAGAGAGAGAGAGAGGAAGTCTCGCAATTTGTCTCGCAATTTGTCTCGCAATTTGTCTCTCGATCGAGAATGATCGGTCAAGTCGATTCACTTTCCCCTCTAATTATCGATCGTTTAATAGAAAATCCAATCGATCGATCCCTCCACGCTTCGAATCACGCTCGAAGAAAGATTTGGCCGGCGACGACCCTCCCCCCTTCCCCCGTTTCCTCGATACACATCCGATCTAGTTTCGGAACGGATCGTGCGAACCGTTCGCGATCGAGTTTCGCAGAAATCGCGTTGCCACGGTGTTAATAAACGAATTCTCTTCTCTTTTTTTCCACCATGCCACCACTTTTCTTCTTCCTTCGAATAACAATTCGATCGAGAAATCTCGCGTGTGAAAAGAAACGAAAATGGAACTTTTGGAAAGTAATATATAAAATGTATTTGGAAGAAACGATCCAATAAACGTGCGCCAACGTTCGAATCAATTGTCAAGATAATGTCTTCTCACGGAGAAGAGAATTATATAATATCTGGTGTTAATTTGAGGGTGTGGGTTTAAATAGGTTTATTTCACCACCACCGATCCCTTTCCTCCTCCGTGACTAAACTTTTTCTCGAGGAAAAGATTCCATCGGGGACGGAATAAATCCAAGGCAACGATTTATCCCCGTGCACTCCGACCCGGGGAGTATCTTATCCTTGGAACAAGACGGTACACGAAAACGTAATCTTCACGGGCGGAATAAAAGCAGGAAGTTCTCGAATGGCACGTAGGCCGAGAGATCGTGTCAAGCCTGTCTTCGGGGGCCTTCCTTTCACCGGCGGGATTCGATCTTCCCGATCGAAAACAGTCCTCCTCCCCCGCGGATGGGGAGAGTTGATCCGGCGGTGTGTAAACGTTAAGCTAATCGAGAGGAATCGCCCAAAGTAACGAGAACGAAACTTTCCGGGCTAAAAGATATTCCAGCTAATCGAGGAATTTTTTTTCGCTAATGACAATTTCGCCCAGAATGTTCTAAACTTAAAACACATTCAAAATTGGTTTCTCGATTCAGATTTAATTATTTCAATTAATCAAACGGGTTAATCGTTTATATTGTTCGTGTAAATATGTAGATTTGCACTTGACAAAGCAAGTTGAGACCTTCCTCGTTTGCATCGATGAAAACCGAACAAAGTTAAGGCCAAACTTCATCGATTCGAAAAATCTGAAAATACCGAATCGACGCAGGCGACTTTCTCGAAGCTTTCTCGACCGATCCGTCGGTTTGGAATCCGTGGCAGGGAAAAAAGGATCGGCGTGGAAAGTAGCGAGGTCGGCAGGAGGAACACGCACGGCAACTCGAGGGGGGAATCTTTTCGTCCCCGGTGAACGGCGGCCACTTTCACGGCGACGAAGCTCTCTCGACGAAAGCTCCTCGACGCGGCCCACGTTCGCGGAACCTTCTCTTCTCTTCACGCGCTTCTTCCTCGAATTTTTCTTCCCCGAACCGAGCAAGAGAAAGAACAAGAGAGAGAACACCTTGTCTTCCGACAAGGGGACCGTTTCGAAAACCGATCTTCAGTGTACACAGTGTGCGGCTACACATCCGCTTTGTGTACATTGCTGCAACGCCGCTTGCAATTCCTCGTACAAACGTGGGACGGACGTCTAACGATGCTCGACGGGTGGAAAAGATAAGATCCATCGCTCCGTGCAACTCTTAGTTAGCGATCGAAGATCGAATCGAAGAAAATCAAAATTTATTCGACCTCGACCAGTTCTAATTAACCTAATTTCGCTACCACACTCGCTCTGCATAAGATGCCGCATCTTATCTCTCTCTCTGGAAATGTACTCTTCGATATTTCGCGAACCGACTCAAAGCGACTCGAATCGCGGCCGCTTCTTTCTCGAGCACATTTTTGTTCAGCTCGTAGGGAAAGGGTTATTTAATAATTAACCAGAAGAAGAATAGTAGAGAAAAATACAGGAAACGGTGCGAAATCGATAATAAATTTACAGTGGATAATTCTCGATATGGTTGGAGGGGGTTGGTCGGTAAAAATCCGGATACCGATCGAGGAGAAAGAACAAAAGGGGAATCCCCCTTCTCCCTCGAGTCGAGAGGAACGGTCGAGTCGAGTCGAGGAGCGTAGAAAGGATGAAACTTCTCGCGGCCGACTTTCCCCCCAAACCCATTCGCCTGTTCTCGCCTTTCGTGCTAAATGCGTCGCCTCTACATATCCGGCCCTCTCTCTCTCCTCCTTCTATCTTCGCTCGTGATCGAATCGATTCCCTGTATTATCGCTTCTCTGCCAGGCCTAAAGGGGAGAAAGAAGGAGAGTACAGAAACGGAGGCAGTGCGTAGGATCGTGATCGTATCTACTCGGTATTTAGATCAACCAGCCTCCAGACTCGGTCTGCCGCGCCGCACAGGAGTCAAAGACCTTCTCTTCCTCTTCCTGCATTGGAATCCGATCGGAAAATCAGCGGAGGCGTTCGTTCGCGCGCTCTCATTCAGCCAACCCCTTCTCCTCGCCCCCCCCCCCTCGTTTCTTTCTCGCTCGAGAATTATCTATGTACACATTGCTCGCTTGTCTCTTGCCTCCTCCTCTCCTCTTTGTTTCGTTCGAGACGAGTTTGCGGTAATACGCGTTCGAATCGTGGCAATAAAACGACGCCCACTTTTCCTTGTCTCTCTCTCTCTCTCTCTCTCTCTTTCGAAGATTCGAACGTGAAAGTTACGATAGGACAGAGCGGTGTCTACGAGTTGTAGAGTCGCGGGTTACACGGGTTTTAGAAGAAGTATCGCGATAAACAAATTGAATGAACCGCCACTCTCATCTTTCCCATTTCTCGTCTTTCGAGCATGTTGAACGTTATTTTTCGGCGAAGAAAAAAAGAACCTCGTCAGGAATAAGACTGCAAGAATCGAAGAATATATATCGCCAAAGGACTTCCTCGAGGACCTCCCCCGTCGAGGAAGGGTGGATACGAGGAGGACTGGTCGACCTGGTTCGCGATTCCAACGAGTTAACTGGAACGGGCTGTACGAGGCGGCCGTTGACCGTGCGCCGGCATTATTTAACTAATGAATCGGGCCACGACAGCAGCCCCTGCGCCCCAGCTGACGTTGCTTAATGCTTTCACGATCGAGAAATTACGCTCCTTCCGCTTCCTTCACCAACCTCTCCCCCCCTCCTGTCTCACCGTCAAGTATCCCAAGGATTATCCGTTATATATATATATACCAGACGGACTTACTCTCCCTTTTTGCCTTACCAACTCCACCGAGTATTCGTCCACCACGGTGGTATCGCGATATCTCGAACATGCGGATGGACGGTCGACGTCCGGCCAGCCTCGTTTCCGGATCGTAAATCGCGCTCGTCGTCTAGCTGGGGGACGTGCCGTGAATTCGCGGAGACACATCGCCAACTCTCAAGGTCCGTTTAACTGTTCCTTCGCGCGCGGGAACCGCGTGTCGTCTCGGATACTCGCGGCGTATCCAATTTCGGGGGGGGAAGCGACTTGCGAAAATTCTGGAATCAGATCATAGAATCGTGGGGATATTTCGTTTTATCGAGGATTTAATTTTTTTAAGGTCGTCTCTTAGCGTTTCCAATTATTATGGGAAATATCTTTTCCCAAACGAGTGAAAAGAATCGGCAATTTCTCGTCCGCGAGTCTATGGTATCGTTAGAAGCAACGAAAAGACGGACGGGAAGATGGCGGATACCGATGTTTGAAAAATATGGAATGGAATGGAATAGATTAACGGAAATATGGAAAATTCGATAGGATGTGGCCGATGGAGTCGCCTTTACTCTCTCTCTCTCTCTCTCTCTCTGCTCTGGACATCGAAATGGAATTTTAACGAACATCACAACGCGGCATCATTAAATCTGTGCACACTCGTGGCTGTTCACGACCAGGATCCTCCGCGATGCCGGTCGGCGTAACCTGAAACTTGCAAATTTCCCTTCCAGCAATTTCTGCATCCTACTCACGACGAATATTTTTCGAAATATCGAGGGGTAGAGGGAATCGTCGATCTGACGATTCTGTGCGAAGAAAAAGATTATTCGGGAGGAATTGAAATTCTCTCGAAATGGAAATTCTTTTTTTTAAACGCATCTTTTATCATCGATCGATTTAAGCGCGATGAGAAGGATTCGAATAATCTCGCGGAGGATGAAAAAGGAGTTTATCGAGAGCCTACGCTCTCACGAATTCGAACGAGACTTTTTCTTGTCCGCTTTATTATGATTTATAAGCGATCGAAAAAAAAAGTTTCACCTCAACGATCTTGGAGAAGATAAAAGAAAATTAGTTTGCACTAATGTCCTTCGCTGGACGCTCGAGTTTCAATTGGGTTACAGACAGCCGGCGCGTAAAATTTTCTTAGATCGTTTTTTCGAGATCATTAAGAATCCAACCGTCAATTTTTGTTTCACTCCATTCACTCATACGCTTCGTGCATCGCGTTTGCAGAACGTTTCAACGAAAAAGATCCATTTAAACTATTAGTGCCGATTTCTACATATTCGACGTGAATCTACGTGTTTCGATCTACGATTGATTCACTTCAACAACCCGACAAACAAAGTCGAGAGAAAATTTATTTACTTATCAAAAATCTTCCCAATTCTCAGTCACCTTCTATCTTCCTCTACGATTAAAACCAACAATCTCTCCCTCTCTGTCTGCGCAAGAAAACGGAAAAACTCTAATTCCAGCGAGTTGCCACTTTCCTCTTTGTTTCCTTTTTCCAGGAACTCGAAGGAGAGAGAGAGAGAGAGAGAGGAGTA